TCCAGCTCTCAGACTGGGGAGCAAGAGTTCCCGGATGTTCAGGTCAGCTGTTTCTGTGGGTTTCACCAGCCTGGTCTGGACCTCTGTGCTCTTCACTGGTCCTTCTTTGCATCTGGGTTCCAGTTTAGATCGGTGATTAGTTATGGGTGTCTGCTTCTACTTTCATCAGCTGCTGGATGAAGGCATATAAGTCAGTCATCAATCTCATAATCAGGGGAAGGCATTTAAGGTAGCCTCTCCTCCGTTGCTGAGATAGTTAGCTGGTGTCATCTTTGTAGATCTCCAGACATTTCCCTAGTGCCTGATTTCTCTGTAAACCAAAAATGTCTCCCTCTATTATGATATCTCCATTCTTGTTATCGTATATTTTTCCCCTGTTTCATTCTTTCTGCTCCCTCATGTCCTCGGCATCCCTCTTCTTCTCCCCTTCTCATTCTCCTAGTTCCCTCCCCCGATCATGGATTTTCTTTCCTCTTCCCCTGTTTTTGGAAATGTTATTGGAAATTGAGCCTAGTGCCTTGCACATGCTAGGCAAATGGCCTATCATTACATTTCATGCCCACCTTGAAAAGACTATAGTTATAGTAAAATCTTTTGAGGGCTGGAGAGATGGCTCAGCGGTTAAGAGCACTGACTGCTCTTCCAGAGGTCCTGAGTTCAATTCCCAGCAACCACATGGTGGCTCACAACCATCCATTATAAGATCTGGTGCCCTCTTCTGGTGTGCAGATGTACATGGAAGCAGAATGTTGTATACATAATAAATAAAGTCTTTAAAAAAAAATCTTTGAAGTGATTATCTCCGTGGCTATTCATATTCATGGTTATGGGAGAAGAAGTGTTAGAGAGCGAGCCAGATAAGAAAAACTTCAAGAAAAGAGGCAGGACTAATTTCTCTTTTATTCTGGTGGTGTGTGTCTGTGTTTCTGATCCTGCAAGGTTAAATATCTGTAAGTAAAAGTAATATAATTTGTATTCACTGCAACACCTTACAGTTTACAAAAGACTTGTGCTGAAAATAGATTGGGGTATCAAGAGAGTGTTAGACTGAAAACCAGCATAGAACTTATTTAGGGTTCTGTTTTTAGGAAGTGGTGGAGCCAGAATATGGGCAAAAGAACAAGGGAAAACAGAAATTGGAGTAAGATGATGGTATTGTCAGTTTTCACCATTTGCTGTCTGAAGTTCAGATTTGTTGTCTACTTCTTTGGGTTGTAAAGTTGAGATGATGTTTATAAAAGTGTCCTAATAACTGCAGAATAGCAGGGCCTGGTGCTACACACCTTAATCCCAACGCTTGAGAGACAGAGACGGATCTCTATGAGTTTGAGGGCAGTCTGGCCTACACAGTGAGTTTTTCTAGGCTAGCCAGGGCTGTATAGTGATACCTTGTTTTCAAAACAAAACAACAAAAGAAAATCCAAACCACAAAGCAAAATAAATGAACTGCAGAATATTGCGAAGATATGTGTTTGCCTATATGTGTATCTGTACCATGTGCTTGTCTGCTGCCTGTGGAGGCCAGAGGAGGGGTTGGATCTGGAACTCCCTGGAACTGGAGTTACAGATGGTTGTCAGCAGCTGTGTGGTGATGGGAACTGAACTCAGGTTCTCTGGCAGAGCATACAGTGCTCTTAACCTCTGAGCCAGTTTTCCAGCTCTTCCTTTCTTGATATTTATTTTTTTTAATTTATGATGGAGTCTTGCTAAGTTGCTCAGTTGGCCTTGAACTTCTCTGTATTCCACACAGGCCTTTTTACTTGATTCATGGAAATTGTGTATATTAATGAGGTACCATATGATGCTTCCGTGCATGCATACATTGTGATCATGTGAAACATCTATTTCCTCAAACATAGCTACTTTATAGTGACAGCAGTCGGATTCCTTTCATCTAGTTTCTTGTTGTGAGTTAAGGCATATTGTTATTATTTTGGTTTTTTGAGATAGGAGTTTTCTGTGTAGCCCTGGCTGCTCTGGAACGCTCTCAGTCGACCAGGCTGGCCTCAAACTCACAGAGATCTGCCTGCATCTGCCTCCCCAGTGCTTGGATCAAAGACCTGTGCCATCCCTGCTGGGCTCGATAACTAATTTTTAATCTTGCTCATTTACATTTTAAGGTAAGCATGAGGAATTTGATCTGTCAGTGAACAGCTCAAGTCTTTGTGAACCTGACTTCTTTTTTTCCTCTTGGTTTTTCACATAGGTTCTCATGTAGCCCAGGTTGGCCTCACACTTGCTATATGATTGAGAGTGAACTTGAGTTTTGATCCTCTTACTTCCACCTCCCAGCTGCTGGGATCAGGGCATACACTAGCATCCCTGGCTATTATTATTATTATTATTATTATTTTATTGTTATTTCTTTTTGTGGGGGGGGTTGGGGGTGTTCCCGAGGCAGGGTTTCTCTGTGGCTTTGCAGGCTATCCTGGAACTAGCTCTTGTAGACCACGGGGGTCTCTAAAGCACAGAGATCCACCTGCCTCTGCCTCCCCAGTGCTGGGATTAAAGGCGTGTGCCACCAACACCTTCCCCCGCCATTTGGCTCTTATTTTTTAAAGCAAGCCATTCTGTCTTGTTTTGTATTTTAATAGGAAAGAAAAGGAACAGCGAAAGTAGACTTCTTGAAGAAGATTGAGAAAGAAGTCCAGCAGAAATGGGAGGCTGAGAAAGTGTTTGAAGTCAATGCATCTCATTTGGAGAAGCAGAAGCAGACCAGGTAAGTGGGTGAAGATCCTCAAGTTCAGCTGCCCCAGGAAGAGGGAAGTGAGGAAGTCTGTATAATATGAAGTGGGCTGAAGGAGCCAGGAGTTCCACCAGTACACAAGTCAGACTCTTTCTACGGAATCCTTAGGTTTTGTTCATATTAAGATAAAAAAAATTATTCATTTGTGTGTGTAATGTGCCATGATATATGAGTGGAATTAAGAGGACAACTTGCAGGAATCAGTTGACTGCTACCGTGTGGGTTCTGAGGGTTGACCTTGAGCCTGTGTCTCCTGAGCTATCTTGCCAGCCCATACAGTTTTTTAAAATTAATCTTTTTTTCACATTTTGACAAAGGAGAGTGTTCTGAAGTTTGTATTTACTGACTGATAAAATGAAAGTTTTGTTTGTTTTTCCAGACAGGGTTTCTCTGTGTAACAGTCCTGGCTGTCCTGGAACTCACTTTGTAGACCAGGCTGACCTCAAACTAACTGAGATCCACCTGCCTCTGCCTCCTGATAAAAGTCCCGGGATAAAAGACATGCACAACCACCACCACCACCCGACGAAAGTTTTTTCTTGAGAGATTCTTACTGATATTACCTCCCATATAGATTAAAATTTTGAAGGGTATTATATTTGTTGATCTTATTTCATAAATACTATGTTGCTTTGATACTAATTTTGAGGCAAATTGTCGACAGTGATTATTGGAGGAAAAACAAAAGCAAAGTAATTGTTCTCAAAAAGATTGTTACAAAAGCTGGGCATGGTGGCCATGCCTTTGATCCCAGCACTTGGGAGGCAGAGGCAAGTGAATCTCTGAGTTTGATGCCAGTTTGATCTACAGAGTGAATTTTAGGACAGCCAGCCAGGACTACACTGAAAGTAGTCTTGAAAAACCAAAAAGAAAAAGAAGAAGAAGAAAAAAAGAGTGACACAATATGTTAAATTAGGGCTGGTGGTGCACATCTTTAATCCCAGTGCTTGGGAGGCAGAGACAGGTGGATCCTTGAGTTCCAGGCCACCCTGGTCTACAAAGTGAGTTCCTAGCCAGAGCTACATAGAGATATAGTTTTGAAAACAAAAACAAAGAAAAATGTGTGTGGTGGTAGCTAACTGTGAACTTACTCTGTGTTAGGAAACATACCATATTCTCATTGAATCTTAAGAAATTTTTATGCTTATTATTTTTTAATGTTTATGGGTGTTTTGCCTGCATGTATGTCTATGCACCATGTGGGTACCTGGTGAATACAAAGATCAGAAGAGGGTGTCAGATCCCTTAGGACTGGAATTAAAGACAGTTGTGAGCTGCCATGTAGGTGCTGTGAACTAAACTCTAGTCTGATGGAAGAGCAGCAGATTCTCTGAACATGTCCAGTCCATGCTTAGCTTCTTAATAACCTTTTAAGGTGAATGCTTTTTTTTTTTTTAAAGATCTTATTTATTTATTATGTATACAACATTCTGCTTCCACGTATATCTACACAGGGGCACCAGATCTCATAACAGATGGTTATGAGCCACCATGTGGTTGCTGGGAATTGAACTCGGGACCTCTGGAAGAACAGTCAGTGCTCTTAACCTCCGAGCCATCTTTCCAGCCCTGCTTTTTTTTTTTTTTTTTTTTTTTTTGAGACAAGGTCTCACACTATCCCAGGCTGCTTTCAAACTTGCCATGTAGCCGAGAATGACCTGAATTGATCCTCTGACTCTACCTCCTAAGTGCTAGGATTATAGGCATGTGTGACACATGCTTGATCTATGTGGTGGTAGGGGATCAGATCCAGTTCTTTGTGTATCCTGGGTAAGCACTCTGGGTAAGCACTCTACCTAAGGTATCCCCAACCTGGTAACTTTTTTTTTTTTTTTTTTTTTAATAAATTAAAGTACATTTTACAGATGGTGAGATAGGCCACATAAACTCAAAGCTGATAGGAATTCACAGTGTTGAGTCTTTCATATTTCTGTCCTTTCAAGGTTTTTTTGTTTTTTTTGGTGGGGGGTCTCTATTATGTAGCTCTGGCTACATAAAGAACTTACTATGTAGACCTGGAACTTACTATGTAGACCAGGCTGGCTTTTAACTCACCCTACTTCTACCTCCCAAGTGCTAGGATTAAAGGCTCTGCCCTTCCAAGTATTAACCAGGCAAGACCAGCTTGGTTTTTAAGAGCTGACACACTTAAGGTGTGACTGTA